TTTTTATAAGTGGGCCCGCAGGGGCCTTGGTCTTTGGAGTCTGACACTAGCAGTTGCTTTCTCTGTCTCCCCTTCGAGTTTCCCCTATAATGGCTTTTCTGATGTCTCTGCCATAGGATTCACTTACTGTGATCTTCACACGTTTAAAATTCATCAGCCCACAGTTCTACTGCATTGGCTTCCTGAGAGTACATTGATTATGAGATATTTTAAGGCTATTCATGAATTGCTCGGTCCGTATGCTTTAAGCTGTACTTTAAAGGTTTGAGATGAAGGTTTGCTATGTACAGTGAGACAAAGATTAAAAGGTGCAGGAACGCGCCACTTCTGCTCCTCCTTCACAGGATTCTCTGCCTTTGGGCACGCGGATGCAGATGTGAGAGGTTTCAATGGATCCATGCAGGGGAGCAGTCTGTTTGGCTTTGTGGGTTCTTCATGAGATAAGCTGTGGGTTTTTACTCTGAAAGCCACAGTGCAAACTGCAAATTCAGTCCCGTGGGCTGCTGAGCACCAAGGAGTAGCGTGTGGAAAGCTAGCCTGCTCATATGGGGTGCTCAAAGTTTGCAGAGCACGTGTTTGCTGCCACTTCTGTGCGCCGTGGAGACGTGGGCATGATACTAGCGAGCAAATGTACAATTGAGAGGCCCGCGAGGGTCGGGAGATCGGCACGATACTAGTGGGCAAATGTACAATTGAGAGGCCCGCGAGGGTCGGGAGAAAAGTAGATGGGGATGTGGGGAAGGGGGAAGCCTGTTATGCAATGCATGCAGATGCGCATATAGTCAAATGTATGTCAGTCAGAGGTATGTATATATATGCATGCATATAGAGTCAAATGGATGTATATGCATATGTATATACAAGCCTATACATACATTAGACTGTATATGCAAGCATATATTCAAAGTATGTATATGCATACAGTCAAATGTATGTATATGCATGCATATACAGTCAAATATAGTCAAAGGTATGCAAAATTTGCATGCTGTGTAGATGTCTCCTGGCCTTTCAGTCATTTCCACTTCTTCAGTCTGGAGCAGTGGCTCTGCTCCGATTTACTGAGAAGAGAAAGAGAACAGCAGGGTATCGTATTGTCTTCCGCAGCGAAAGATTGCCACTCTCTTAAGCTTAGCCACCTACCTTTACCACTGGGCAAGTGGAGGACATCTTTCCTTAGCTTTCCGCGTGGTTGGAAAGTATATAGTACTTACGTTGTAATCTAGCCGAGCCAATGCACACATTCGGGACATAATTCCATTTTGATTTCTGCTTCCTGTTGTCACTGTGCAGCAGCTGGCTCCTGGCATGAGCCTTGCACCTTAGGGAAATGGTGTCACTGCCTTAAAATTCAAACATACTCATTTCAAACCAGGCCTCGTGCTTCAGGCTGCGCTCTCGAGGCTGAATCCTGCTTGTCTTGCTTAAGGGAGTCGTCCTGCTGGCTTAACTGTGCTCCCCCATGTAAAGCAAGCAGGACCTGGTCTTTAAAATCTATGGTCCTCCAGCTCCATGATGCTTGTTGGAGACGTTTCATCCTTATGATGTTCAGCTCTGAGAGGGTTTACACCTACTCATGTAACAGGTCAGTTTTTTCTTAGCATCTGGTGTCCAGTGAATCATGACTTTAAAATGACTAAGAACTCATTGCTTAATGTGTGATGTATGGTACATAATGACTCCAGATATGTCCATTTATCTAACACTCATTTGTACTGGTCCTGAGCTTTTCCTTCACTCCGTTATGTGATGTCCTTCCCTCTGGATGGCCTAGTCCTGGCCTCCTGGTCTTGCATTGCAGTCCTCTACAGCTTTGCCATTGATTTCAATGAGTATAATAAGATCAAACTCCTAATGACTATTGCAGTTAGCAGGGAGGTCTTTCCTTCAGTTGTGGTGGACGTTGGCTCAAGCCCTTTGTTTCATTTTGTTTCATAAATAAATACATTAACAAATAAAAGTGCTTTTAAACTAAAACATGGTGTTAATATATATTCCAGAAGCTTAGGCTTCTATTTATTATGGGAAAAATTACTGCACAGGAGAGTTTTATAGAACAATCGTTTGGAATTTATTCTTTTTATTTGTGTATCTATTTTATATATTGATTTACGGAGCAAGCACTGTCCTACAAGCCGTTTCCTTTATTATTATGATATGAGTATTAGGTGCCTGCATGGAAATACGCAGCCTGCCAATAAACCTTATACAATGGGTATCAGAGATGGTTTTTATGCTGTGTTCAACATTTTTCCAACTTTCTATAAAATACATTATGCATTTTACTGCTGTAGCATCTATTGCTTAAAAGTACAGTGCATTTTTGTTCTCCTCAGGAAAAAAAAAATAATCCTAGTTTTTTCTTTTTCATATTGAGTGCACAAATGGAAGACTGAATTTCTTTTTCAGTATTATGTATGCATTGCTAGCTGTCCATTGAGATTGTTCTGAATACAGATTTGGCCTCAGAAATCAGGCATATCTCCAGCTGTGTTCAAAATTCTTGTGAAATCAAAACACACACATCAAAGCAATGCTGTGAAGCCAACTTTTTTTGGGTTTTTTTTAAGAGTATATATATTTTAATATTCTTCATTATTTGAGAAACTTACTTAGAAGTAGTACTTCGAGCTGGACTGTTCTCAGTGGGGGCAGATGACAGAACAAGGAGCAATGGGCTCAAGTTGCTAGAAGGGAAGTTGATGTTGGATATTAGGAAAAACTTTCTCACTAGGAGGGTAGTAAAACACTGGAACAGGCTATCCAGAGGGGTGGTGGACTCTCCATCCTTGGAGGTTTTTAAGGCATAGCTAGACAAATCTTTGGCTGGGATACTGTAGTTGGGGCTGGTCCTGCTTGGAGCAGGGGGTTGGACTAGATGTGACCTCCTGAGGTCCCTTCATCCCTACTGCAGCTCCTGACTTGGCTGATTTTTGTGGATTTCCACTTGGAAACTTTGGCCAATTCTGCCCGAGACCACTTGTCTGAGTCAAGAGAGCAGGATTTGGTGCATATCTATTTTCTGATTTGCATCCTAAAAACAATGACTGACTGGGTAGGTCTACACCCCAAACGAAGAGGGGATTGTTGCATGTTTTAGCATACCCGTGTCAGCTCAGTCTCAGCAGCTGTAGTAGTAAAGACTCCAGTGTCATGGGGCTTTCACATGTGCTTACAACCCGAGTGTGCACTCAGAGTCCCTGGAGGTTTTGTAGTCTAGCAGCCTCTGCTCCTGCGTCTTCACTGTTATTGCTAATGTGTACTATCAAGATAATACAGGTCTGCTAGCACAGCTGAGTTTTGATGTATAGACACCCCCTCTCTTTCATATGTAGCTTTTGTCTCCGGGCGCTGAGTAGAGATGGGTCAAAGCAGCAAAATTCAGATTCAGGATTCAGGGTTTTGGGGGTCAGTGATTTGCATTCAGCCCATACTAGAGATAAGGAGCAGGCCCTACAAGGCTGAGTCTTATGCTGTCACACACACTGACTTACCCCGCAGAAGCCAGCGGCTGCAGTCCAGGACTGGGGCATGCCAAGTGTTGCAGCGGGAGTGCCTGGAGCCATGTAAACCAGCTGCAAGTGAGAGCAGCACCCAGAGAGGTTGTGCCTCTGGCCGCTAACAACCCCGGCACAGATACTGGTGCTTTGTCTTTCCTGCCGGTCACTAAATGGAAGCAGCCGTGGAACATGTGGCATGGACAGAGTGCATTGCGCTTGAGTTTTCCCATTTGAATAGCAGGCTCTGTATTATTTTTCTTTTATTTGCTGCCACGCCGTGATCTCGTAACAATAAACAGTGTCACTTGGTAATAATAGACAATGGGGAGGGAATTTTTAGCAGTTAATTGGGGAGATAAGTCGTCTTAGCCCAGTTGGTTATTAGCTGCCAGGACATTACCGACTTGCGTGTGCCCCCCAGCTCCTCCAAGTATCTGAAGTTCTCAGTTACTAGGAAAACAGGACCCTTTGCCACTGTAATGTTCCCAGTGGGTTGGACAGATCTCTTTGTTTCTCTGCTGTGTTCTGGCTTTCACCTTACTTTTCTTTCTTCTCCTGCACCTTTGATATTACATACCTGCCTCCACTACTTGCATCCTTTTCATATAAAGCACTGATGCAGCTTTGATGGTAACTACTTTAGTATTCTCTGCAGCATCTTTCTGTCAAGCGAGCTTATTATTATAAGAAACTTTTATATCGCGTCGTTAATTTACAAGTGCTTTACAAACAGAGATGAGACCTGGCCAGTGCCTTGAAGAACCTGTCATCTAGTTAAGACAAGACAAACACAGGGTGAGGAGCTTGATGACAGTTTGGGACAGGAAAAGGTTTTGAAATGATTAATGAGAAAAGAGGGAGGGATTCTTTGAAGTGCTAGTTTCAGGGGAGGGGATGAAGCAGAGCAGAGAGGGTGCCTGAGAGACACGGAGGAAGAAGGCCCCCCCGGGCGTAGGGAGGTGAAATGGAAGAAGGTGTGAAGACAAGAATGCAAAAGCAATGAGACGACGGGGTCTGCGGGTGAAGCTAGGGGATTGAACTGAGACCAGGGCAACAGTGTTTGGAGCTAATGGTAAGGCAGGGACCCTGAGCCTCATTTGATAAAATAGGAAGCCGGTGAGAGAGTTTGAGGAGGGTGAAGCTACAATGTCTGCATACATCTCTCCATCTAGATCCTCTGCCTATCTAGGCCATAGTCCATCTAATAAACTCGTCTGGTCTGTTTTTGTCTCCATGTGTTTATAAGGCTTCTTGGTGGGGGGAGGCAGATAAAAAAAATCAAGTATCATCAGGATGAACTAGTGTTCATTAGCCATCATGTGCTTAGTGCAAGTAAGGAGCCTATTCCTTCAGGGAGCTTTGCACTTTCCCCTCCTGGTGGCTCCCGTGGAAGTGGAAGAGGCTCAGCACCATGCAGAGATATGCGGTGCCTCTTTGGGAGCGAATTCCCTTTATTTTCATGCTAAGGCAACCTGACACTCTTCTCCCTGTGATTGCTAGGCCAGCACCAAGTGAAGCAAGGGACGTGTGAAGTGGTCGCAGTGCATCGCTGCTGCAACAAGAACCGCATAGAAGAACGCTCTCAAACGGTCAAGTGCTCTTGCTTCCCAGGGCAGGTTGCAGGCACGACAAGGGCGCAGCCCTCCTGTGTGGAAGGTAAGCAGTCGCTCCCTCGTTTCCTCCTGCTCCGGGTTGCGTGCGGAATACCGTCTCCTTGCTTGTTTGACTTTCTGCTGCCTAGAAAGCATAATCCTCCCTTTTGTTAACTTGGGAAACATCCCCACGCTTTGATGATAACGAGCGCGTGCATAAATCTTGGTGTAATTAATCCCCTTAATATATGTACTCGTCCATTTCACGTCCATGCCAATAACACATCTTAATTCTTCTTCATGCAAATTCCCCTTCAAAACTAGCTTAAAACCAGCCCAGAAATTTGAGCTAGTTCATTAACCCATCCGATTGCCTGTAGACTGAGCATCATGGCTGTGGGATTGCTGAGGCGTAAAGAAACCATTAGATGGTTGTCATTTCAGTGGTTCCTAACCAGGGGTAGGCAGCTAAGTGTTGGGGCATCTGAGTCTGTTGACTTGCTCTCTAGATTGGCCTTCCTACGTCCCTGATTGAGAATGGTGAGGGTGGCCAAAATTTGCAGTGGGCTTCCAAGGGAGGTGGTGCTCTCCCTTACCTTTAAGAGAAGGCTGGACAAGGCATGTGGCTGGGGTCATCTGACTCTTTTCTGCCTAGGCAAGGGGTCGGACTTGATGATCTGTTGAGGTCCCTTCCAACCCTAGTGTCTATGAATGTGTGCAGTAGACCCCAACGTGTCATTACTCTCCCATGTCTATTCAGCTTCGTGCATTGTAACTGGCTGAAGTTTGAAGAAGCTCAAGAGAATCAGCTGTATAGGATGTAGCTAACAATGGGTGCGTCTACACGAGACGCTTACTGCACAGTAGCCTAATAACTCTGTGCAGTAGCGTGCTGGGCAAAAACCGTGCTAATACGCTACCACGCATTAGTATTAGGCTACTGTGCAGTAAGTGTCACTAAAAACCTACGCGCCGGCACTACTGTGCAGTAGTGCAAGTTACTGTGCGCTGATTTAGTACTTGGTTATCCAAGTACTAAAGTTAATGCACAGTAAGTATGGCGCATTAATGAATGTGTAGACCTGCCCAGTAGGCTGACAAGACGTGCAGCTGATAAACAGAGAGCTGTGGTACAACAGATCTGATCCAGCCATACCCCTGCCCTTGGGTGAATAATTCAGCGCAGAGGCACTGAGGGTGTGTCCTGTCTGCAGGCAAAGGTGTGATGCCACTTGTGTAGACATCCCAAGCTAGCCTTAATCTAACTAGCTCCAGTATTGATAGGTGGGTAGTCATGGCAGCACAGAGCTTGCATGGGGACTAACTACCCAAACATATATTGCACTTCTTGAGCAGGTTTTGCAGCTAAGCTATGCAGTGCAAGGGCCACACTATCGTTGCTAGACAAGTTGGCAGGTTTAAAGCTAGGTCAGTTATATCAAAAGGGCTGCAGTCACACCTTGACTGTAGTTGAAGCCATACCCTTACAATCTTCAGTTTCTTGGCACTAGTAAATAAATAGCCCTTTGGATAAATCTTCATTAGACTATTATTTAGATTTAAAAATTTCTAAACTAATAATCTAATTTATTTAGATTTAAAAAGTTCTAAACTAAGACATTTTCTCTTTAGTTGAGGCAGTTGGCCACTGTGATATTTTTATCGCTGAGATATACACCACTAAAAAGACTAAAAACATCTCAACCTATTTCACTGTTTCTCTACTAACAAATATACCTATTTCCAACCCCAGATTTTTTATGTTAGCAAATGCCTGTTATAAGTCTTCATTAGCTTATTTGTCAGTAAGAATTAAAAGGATCTTCCAATATAAAATTCTGTGAAATTTACATTTAAATTGAAACAAAGCTGGAAAATGTTTTAGTAGCTTACTGTTAATTAATATTGACACAGAAATCACTGTGTCCTGCATTTTTGTTAATCCAGAAGGAAGATACTTATCTTCTGTTTTCATTGCTTTTCACACAAAATCATGACCTTTACAAGTTAAATATAAAAACAGCTACATTTTTCTAACTTTCAGCAATATTTTACTCTAGTTATAAGCCAGCAAATACATGCACCATGTCTGATTTTATTGCTCTCCTTGCCTATTTACATATTTTCTGCGAAACTCTTTATTTAGGGAACAGATTTGGCTTAATGTTTAAAATTTTCATACATTGTAATTCATGCAAACAAATCATCCTTAATTGTTGAGTTTCTCCGAATAATCCTTCCTCTTGTATCATGTGCAGTACCAATTCCTTTTACATGCCGTACCATGCAACATTGATACTGTTCTTTATGATGGGAAATCAACTCTAGTTATTTATTAAAATATACTTTAGGATTACATAGGTAACACTAGGCTTCCCTGATTGAATGACATAAATCCGCAGTGCAGTGGTAGCCTAATTAATTTTTAGCAAACGGTTGTTGAAACAATTTAATTGTACCTTTTCCATTCAAATCTGCTTGAAATTAAATAGGAGAAGACATTATGAGTGCAAGATTTTGAGTTACAAATAGGAGCCTTTAATCTTTTTTCCTTAGGGTGATGCTTTAACATACTTAACCTGTTTCTGTCAACATTTAGGTCTTCATTCAGGAAGATGCCATTTGGCTCCTATAGTGTAGAAACCATAGTTTTCTGCTCCAAGCCTCAACATTTGATTTTTTTTTTGTCACTTCATATCCAGCTTTCTATGGAAACTTCCACACTGCAGAAATCAGAAGTAGAGTTTATTGAACATGGCTTTTAATGACCTGACTTGTAGAACTAATTAGTTTAATATGATGTAAGAGATTCATTTTTCTTTTCCAAGAGCTTTTACTAAGGTCAGGAAGGTTTAATTTGATGATATTTAGCACATTTGTAACACGAGTTTTAAACGAGGATTCACTGAAAGTGCAAAATTACTATTCTGGTTACATTCTAACCAATATCAAATATTGGACAGAGCACTTGATTTGAGCGACTTCTGAAAGTATCGTCTCCGACCTTTAGTCTTTACCCAATATTAATTATTATCTATATATTAGGGTGACACTCAACCCCTTCTGCCAAGTGCTGTCTACATGCATACGACAAGAAAGACATTCCCTGCCCAAATTGCTTACAACCCATGCAACCTTATTATGAGAAAAGTGAAATAAAGGGTATAACTACATCTCGTGCCAGACTACACGACCCTTGTCCACACAACATGAACAGCCCTGTTGATTTCAAGGGACCTACTCAGCTGGGTTATGTGAACTAGGGTTGCACAGCTGGCCTTGGGATGCTACTTTGGGAAGAATCCTGATGCCATAAGGCAAAACATATTGGGAAAATAATGACAAATGATTCAGGATAGAAAGCGTTCATAAAAGCGGCCTTTACAGTCTTTATAATGGACTTTGTGTGATCTGGCTAGATTCTGCTTGCATTTACAAGATGTAAACTGGAAATAGCACCATTAAAATAAAACTGTAAAGCTATAGGAAATGGGAGAAGAGTCAGGCCTTCTCTCCATTCATATTCGGATTGTCTGTGTATTTGGGCTGAGAGCTCTTCAGGAGTTAGGAAGTGTCCATGTCTTCTTCTGTGCCTCGTCCAGCATTAAGCAGCTACTGGAATGGAGTCAATTGATAGTTCCCACATTGTGATTTCCAGGATGCTGGGGGTCTGCTGGGCCGTGGTATGGGGTCTGCATCTCTCTGGGCGGCACGTACCTTTATGGTATTTTCACTTGAAAGTTTTGGTGCCAAGGGGATTTGGCGCTCTGCAAAGGGGGTCACAGGGTCTGGAAACCACTGGAGTAAAAGGCAAGCATCTATTTCATTCATAGTAATGTGATTTAAAAAGCTTGAGGGAAAAAATTCCCAAAAAATTATCAACAAGTCCTGCCCTTCTCACAACTCAGATGAACATTATTACACTAATTTAGATCCATCTAAAATGTAGTCAGACTTTTCAGGAAATGATCATAAAATATATTTAAAAAAAACGTATAAGCAGGACAATTAAGGAATGTGCATTGTTTTTTGATATCTTTGGTTTGGGGCATAGCTTTTTGGTCTTTCCCCTTTATCACTAACTCTGGCCCATAAGCATTTCCTGATTCAGCTCTAGCTGAAGTCAGCGGTAGCCTAAGGGATCTCTGTTGATAAGTAGTGTGCTTTATGCCTTCTTGTGTAAAAGGCAATGAAATTAGGTTTAAAAATCATCATTAAGGCTTTTAGAATAGAATCATAGGCCAGCTGGATATTTCCATTTTAAAAGAGCTTGGACAGATGGTAAAGAACTTTGCACAAGGTCAAATTAAACCAGCAGTTTTACTGCAGCAGCACAATATATTAAAATTAAGTACCATGTAAGGAATTAGCGAATACGAATTAAAAAATCCATTCAACTGCACGCAACGATACTTAGGGCCAACTTTCAGCAAAGCCCCCATTTTGAGCTGATGTATACATGTAAGTAGGTAATTACAAACATATCTGACTCTTTGTTCAGGGCTGTGGTTGACTGGAAGAATGTGCACATTTTGGCCGGATACAGACATTACAGTTTGACTGATATGAGTAACTGGAAACCCGGACTATTCCTGTAACACAACAGAAGTTTGGCGCACACAGACTGGTTTAGAACTGGCAGAATAAGTACAGACAGTCAAAAAGCCCAAGGGTGAATTGATATAGTCTTTGCAGGTTAGTCTAAGCTGCATACATTGAATCAATAAGCAAGTGAACAGACATTCATGTTTGATTTTGGAAATGCAGCCACATGCCTGCAGTGGCCCAGGCCAGAACCCAGGGGGCGCTAGAGCACACCTCCCTGCTGGGCTGGAGCAGACAGCTTGGGCAAGGCTGGCCAGCCCCACCCTGTGAGGGGGGTTTGCAGGAGTGTTGCAAAGCATCCTGGGATGCTGGGGGATTGCAAGTTTACTTGAATCTGGAGGGGATCTGGGACAGAAGTTCAATAAATTGGTTTAACCTAAATCAGTTAAGTCTGATACTACATCCATCCAGGTTTACCTTAAACCGGTTTTGCCCATTTTGAAAGTGGTTTATGTGCAT